CGCGTCTTGGCTGCCCTCGTGCTCTGCCGCTTTGCTTCCTTTCCCTGGTCTGCTGGAGACCAGGGAGAGGGCCCCGTTCGTAACTACATAACGTCGACAGAACTCAGCAGTTTTGTCGAAGCTGGTAAACCTCATTTTACGAGGAATAACGCCTTTTGTCAACAGAGTTCTGTCGACAGAAGGTGTTACTGCATCTAAACTGTCCTTTGCATCTACACTGCCATGTTGACAAAGCAGCTTGCTTTGTCGACAGAACTGAATGTAGTGTAGACGCTCTTTGTCGACAGAAGCTTTGTCGACAGTATCTGTCGACAAAACTTCTGTTGACAAAAGCCTGTAGTCTAGACGTACCCTCAGGTGCTGCAGGACTCCTTGTCTCTTTTGCAGATCCAGACTAACACGACTACCCCTCTGATACTAGTGGGAAATGTTAGCTCATAAATTTCCAATGCTTATTTCTGTTTCTTCCTAGGAGTTTGAAGATCACAGAGATGCTGATGATGCAGTTTATGAACTGAATGGTAAAGAACTGTGCAATGAAAGGTAAACTTCAAATATGCTTTTTCTAAAGCACTAAATACATTTTATACCCCAAATGTGATGCACTAAGCTCTGCTTCCACATCTAATTCCCGTGGCTCTGACATATCTCCATATAGGTAGAAGGGTCTATTAACATATCCTGATGCAAGGGGGGGGGGGAATTGGATTGTAACATAGAATTCAACTGCTTTTTTTGGACAGAAGTAGTGGAATTAGTCTTCCTTTCAATGGTTTATTCCTCTCTTCCCCAAGTGAACAGATGCTACCTTACTGGAAATGGCAAATCCATTCATTTCACTCTTCTTTTCATTAGTCCATCTGTCACTTCCAGAAATTGATCAGCACCTCTAAGCATATGTATGACTTGTAAGAGTGCCATACATTCACTGTATATAAGAAACCAATAAGTTATTAAAATAAGGTAAAAAACAAACTATCCATGTGGTCCTTTTCACATCCTGCTGCTGTTTATAGCCTTGTTCTTTCCTTCTGACCATTAAATCTAAACTGCACACATGTAGTAAATTTCATGTAAACACAATGAGTTTTGGATGCTTATGAAATATCTGCCATTCATTCTGGTATGCTACAGCCAATAAACTAAGGCTCTCTTTTGATTCTGCATGTGTACTTCCTATTTCAAAGGTTTGAAGTGACTTAAGTAGTTACGGATTTTTTTCTTCATGTTTAAGGGTTACAATTGAATATGCCAGGGCACGAAGAGGGAGAGGCAGATTTCCACAACGGTTCAATTATTACCAGTCACGTAGCAGTGGATCTGGGTGAGTGATCTGGTCTCATTTTACTGCATCTAAAATAACTGTTTAAGCACTGTGTGTCCCTATTGTATTTTCTTCTTTCTAGCAGTGGCAATAGGGGAAGCTCCACATCCTTACATAGCATTGAGAAAACCAGTACTGACGCCCCCAGATTTTGCAACCTGCATCTCAACTAGGGCATCTCTCTACCTAAGCAATGTGTCATGGGTTTAATATTACTATACAGCAGTGGTTCTCCAGTGTATATTCTGTGAATCACTTCCAAATAAAGTTCCTCTCCTGGACCTTCTAAGCTGCTAAATTTTCTCATTGTTTGGTTCTAAAAAGTTTAACTGAGCAAACGCTGTGGTGGGTTTTCATAGACCATAGTAAGAACCATTACTGTAGGAACAAAGGACCAACATGCACGGCCATCAGTATAAAAATACTAATGAGCAAAAGTTGCTGATTGAATAGAAAGTGACCCCTCAAGGACAATCTCTATCCTTAGATTAAATCTAAAAATAGTTATGGTATATAATATGTATCTACTATATATGCTGGGTATGGAGTTTGTGTGGAAAAAGTATTATTTTGAATTTATTTAATGTGAATGTGATCTTTTATCAATTTTTATAACAGATTTTCTTAAATGACATATTTTTCAGAGTTGTTTAAATGACACAACACATTCAATTTTTTTTCTTTAAATTATTACCTCTAGTATCTTTCTGAAGTAAATCATTTGAACTGATGTATTCTGTAGTAATTATCTATGGACTATGCAGAGGAGTTGTTGAAAGGAGGATAAACATTTCACTGAATTATAATTCTTAACCTCTCTGCAGTTTTTTTAGAGGCAGAGTTCCTCCCAACCCCAGGCCAGTAAAATCTGGGCATCTAATTTGCATATGCAAGTATGCTAATTAGATTATTTTTTCTTTAGTGGCAGTGACCTTGATGCGATAGGACCGAGGTCTGGGCTAAAAGTGAACTTTTAAAGTAGGAAGTGTGATTGAAGGTCGTGGGCATCTGACGTTTTGGCCATGTTCATGACGTCAGACACCCGGTGCCAGACAGGAAGAGACTACCGTTTGCAATAATGAAAAAATGGGACTCAGCCTTCCAGTTTTGGGACTCTGGGACTTCTGTTTAAATGCTCTGAAGATCTGGATATTCTGAAAAAAATTGGGACACTTTGAGGTATGCGCTGAAATCAAATTACCTATGCTTCAGTGTACAAATCAGTACACACTGCTAGGGTTACATTTATGGGATGAGGCATAGAATTGAAAGAACTATAACATAGAGTCATTCCAGCATCTAGACTGAACAAATTAACTTAGGTGTGACCCCAAAGAAAGTATTAATTTTCTTTCTATCCTAATCTTTTCATAACAGTAAGCCGAGTTTTTGTGCCAGGGCAAATAACATTTTACATACATGCTTACACACACTAGACAGTTTTTCTTCATATTAATGTCATTTTGCATGTGCGAAAGGACAGGCTAGGAAGTAATGACTATTGGTTTTCCTATCCAAAACTGAGGAACAGTGTCATTGGGTGTACTTAGATTTGGGTGCTCACTGTAGTCTGTTTCATTTGAAAAAAATAACTGAATACAAGGGTGCCCAAGTAGCAATACATCTTTGAATTGCAGTTTTGTGATGTACAGATTTGAGAGGATGCAAAAAAAAATGTTCTAAGTGGTGTGGTCTGGCTTAAATTGCTGTCAGTGCTTTGTAACTACCTTGATCACTTTTACCAGGAACAGCTGAGTGGCAGAACAGTAGTCAGGTGGAAACCGTTTATCTTCTCACTGTACTGTTCTTGTTTTCCTGCTATTCTGATAGAAGTCCTACATAACACCATTAGCAGAACTGTACATCACATCTGCACAAGCCAGTGTGTTTTTTCCAAACTCCTTGATGGTTCTCAGATCCTCCAATTGAGTTGTTGGGATTGGGATCACTGATTGCCTGTTAGGGACTTCCTCTCTCTTCTCCCTTCCTCCCCCCCTTTTCAGCACCTCATAACTCCTGACTAGACCATTTTTTCTTTAAAATAAACTTTTTAATCAACATTCATTTAAAACTATCATATAGTAATTATAGTAATTTCTTTCAGTAATGTTTCATGATATGAAAACTTATTTTATTCATAAAGTGCCACTGTCACTTACAAGCAATCAGTTGGCTTCATGTTGTGTTTCTTGAAGTCAGAAAATTTTGACGCATGAGAAACTGCCATGGGATACATTGGCATATCCAAATATTAGCAACTGCTTGGGAATTGAGAACCATTGGGTTAAACCGTCTTCAAATGTGTATGTGTCTCTGACTTCGAAAGGCAGAATTTAGCCTCTTGTCAGCAAGGATGTAATTACAGCCTTCAGTGGGAGTACCCTCCGGAGGCATAATATTTGATCAAAGCCATTAGTGTACTTAGATTATACTTTTCTTGGCTCTGAGCTAATTTAATGAAAATACAGTAGCCTTCTAGAAGTCTGAAAATGTCATCTGTATAGAATGCCTGTGTGTGAAGTTCTTTCATTGAAATACTAATTTATTGCTAAATTCCGCACTTCCATTCTTACAGTGGGAATATGCTTTTAAATATAGTATAGAGTTAACTAGGCAGAATCTAATCTGCAGTCCATCTGTAAGAAAAACAACTAGTATTTAATTTTATCAGCAAACCATCAGAACACATGAGTTTCTGTGTAAGAGTTTTACATATTCTGCATTGGGAAAATGTATCTTATTGTCTCTGAATTCTTATAGCTGGTATGGACCTCCTGTTCGTACTGAACACAGAATTATAGTTGAAAATCTTTCTTCACGGATCAGCTGGCAGGTGAGTTAGATTTTAATCTTTTTAAAATCTTTTAATACATGATTTTATTCTGAGCATTTTATTTTCTTGCCCTTACGGAGGCAGTTTGCAATTTATTTAAAGCCAATTTATTTAAAGCCATAATAAATATTTAACTTTTATTAAGTTTTTTAAAAAGTTCTTGCATTATTATACTCCAACACTTCAGAGTAACTAATTTCAAAGCAATTTTTTAATTTGGGATTATATCGTTTTACTAGGAATATCTGAGATTTCCAGATCTTTGAGTTTACAATTTTTGTTATGATTGAAACTCATAGTCTTTTACAATTGTAGATGAAACATGATTAAGAATCCATTAATACTGCATGAATAAAGCAAATTCCAAGAAAGCTATTTATCCCATAGTGTACTTAATGCAGCAGTTCAGATACAGTCTTTTAAAAATTGTCTTTAAAGCTATCTCACTGCATTTGTGATGTCTACAACTTTTTTCTAATCTTTATCGGGCTTGAAAAGAACAACCACATGATCACTGTTTATATTAATGTGTGTTTTGTCTAATATACCCATTATAAGGAATTAACTTTTCTTTGTGGGCTTTACACCATACATTAATGAACAGGGATGGATTTTGTGTGCATACTGAAAAGATGGACATGAATAGATTGTGTTAGTTTAAGGCTCTGGCCCTTGCAATAAGAACTGCAAGAGCAAATATTCTGTGCCTTTCTGGAGTTTCACTGATGTTAATGGTGGTGCTTCACAGAGGTTCAGGGTTCCACCCGTGTGGATCCAGTGGCATAATTAGGACTGAAGTTTGCAAAGCTTCATGTCACTCTTTCATATAGAAAGCACAGTATTTTATTATTAAATAGTAAACTTCTGATTAGTTTTAAACCTGATTCAAGATAAGTGGGTTTCATCTAAATCGCTCTAGTGTTTAATACACAACTTCTGTGTATAAAGTGATCGCTCTAAAAATCACTGATCTTGTAAAGGTGACATGGGGGGGCAGGGAAAACTGTAATGGAGTGTTGAGGAGAGCAATCATTTAATGGAGGTACTTATGTTTAAATTTAATTCATAGCATGGAAATTGGACTTTGCAATAACACTTGAATATTTGTAATGGCTTTATTCTTACTAATTACATGTTAGACTTACATCCACTTAATTCAGATTCACCTGTGGTTGCCTGAGCACATGAACATATCCATACCTAAATGTTTGGAGTAAAATTTCTTGAATGCTTAAATGCTAAGTAAGTTCATGCTAATGCAAGCACTCTTCAAAAGCTCCCTCACAAGCTTTGCGCTTTGTAGGCTTCGTGTGAAATTACTGTGAATCTTGGCACTAGCTCATTGGAGGTGATGTAAGGAGGATATTATGCCATTTATCCTAGATTAGTGGAAATGCACAATTAAAGTGCATGTAAATTAGAAGTGACAAATTATATAGCAAAACTGTTTAAAAACACAATTGCTTCTCTATAAAATTCCCTGTATACAAATTTAGTTTAGTTTTGCAGCCATAATGCATCAACTTTTTAACTATTAACATTTTAAAGTAGTATTAATATGATAGATTAGACTAGCAATACAGTAGTCACTAAAATACTGGTTTTTAGATTATCCCAAGAAATGTTCTGGTCTTCATCTCCCTTTGGAAAAAAAACTAGCTAACTTGAATGAAGTAGATGCAATACCTTGTCTCCAAAACTTGTAGGCATCTTGGGTGTGTGCAGCTCCCCAGGATTTAAGACAGACTGTAATTTGATTTTAAAGCCAGCACATTCAGATGCTACAAATAGTTAAAACGTGTGTCCAGATGATAACTTTCTTCCCATTTTATGACTTCATGTGTGTTTAGAGCCAAAGTAGTATTTTTAATTACCTACGCCCATGACAGCGCAAATTTATTGCGACTGGTTTTTTTGTCAGCTCTGCTAGTTCTCCTGAAAATAAATTATAGTTGAAATTGATGATCGATCTGTGATTGCTAAGAGAAAAATAAAAGCCGTGTCTTTAGTTTTAATATGAATGGTTATTCTTTTTCACAATTTTGTGTTCTTTAAAAATGTATTATCTTAAATCTTTAATTGCTGAAGATTATGTGGATATATTTTTGTGAATAAGGTGCAACCAAACAGTACCCCTTGTGAATTGTCAGATTTCATTGCTGCTGCTTTTTTTGTTTGTTTTGTTTTTTTGTTAAAGAGATTATGTTGTTTTAAGGCCATTTGTTGTTTGAAGGAGAGCAGTGTCCTAAAACTTCTTACCTATACAAACTTGCATCTTCTCTCTTCAAATAATATTGTTAGTGTCTTAATGATATCTCCTTGTTCTGTTATACAACTTTTTAGGGTTGTGATCCTTGGCAAATCAGAGTTTAAATATTATATACATTTGTTTGGATGGCTCAATTTTAGAACCTAAAACAACATAAACTAGAATGCAGGTTTATGTGATTGCCTTACTTAATTTCATTTTCTTAGCAGCACTTCTAAATTAGAGCATTTTTTTCTAGGTTAAGAAAACCTTTGATTTTATTAATAATAAATGTATAACTTGTTGGGTGAAATCCTTGCACCCACTGAAGTCCATGACTTCAGTAGAGTCAGGATTTCACCCTTTATCTCTGAATTTCTGTACCTATGTTTAGTTTGCAGTAATGGTTTTTATATGTGGCTGTGGATCATGTATTAAATGTGCTAGCTCAATGAGATTGTTTAGGTTTTTAAACATTTTAAACAAAAGTATTTTGCAACCTAAAGTGTAATTCAGATGTTCACTTTTAGAACTAAATTATTGAGCTTCATTAACACATTAAACTGAGCCTTCCGTATGCTGTAGCAAATGTTCTAAAGTTTATTTCTTAGTTTTTTGTTTGTATTTTTTCTCAAATACATTTCTAACCAAGTGCATTTTGAACCTCTTTTAACAGCCTTGCTTTGGGTTAACCCTCGTTTCTCTTGTGTGGAGAAGAGAGAGAGCCCAAGAGTTTGGGGTTTCTAGTGGCTGAAATTCTAGGGCTTGGCCTGTTCTGAATTTTCCTTTTGGTTCCTATGACACTCCTGTCTTGGCGATCTAGATCTTGGTTTGTCCAGGTTTGATCTCGATTTGGCTAGCACAGGTCAGCCGCAGGTTCTGTATCCACTTCCGGATGTTATCAAGTATTTTCAGGGTCTCTGGTACATCCCCTTGAAGCGTATTGCTATGAGCCATTCCTCTACCCTTCTCATGTAAGGGAGTTCCTCTTGGCCAGCTAGGTAGTGGACAAGCGACTGTTTGCTTAAGGTACCTGCTTATGTCATCTGACCACTTGTGGTATATTGCGGTAAGTAGCCTTGGGCTATAAAATGCACAATATTATTTGGAGAATATATTGTTTTTAAGTTTTGAAACTAACTTATAAATATAATTGTACTTATCTTTAATCAGCTGTAACATTATTTGTTCATGTTTTATACTGTGGGGCAAGTAAAGATGCTATAGTGTATATTCAGTCTCTTGAAATTAACTACAATATCTCTTTTTGAAATAACACTGAAGTGACAGACTGATGAAAGCCAGAAAATCAGTTAAGACAGATTAACACTGAATATTCTGCCTTTTTTGTCAGTTTGCTATAATCATAGCATTAATTGAACATAGACATTTTGCATTTAATTTTTGTGTATGTATCTTTACATGGGGGAGGAAGAGAATGCATATAGGCAATTTTAAATGTGCAAGATTCTAATTTAAACTAGGTTTTCCAAAATAGTCTTTATGGTCAGTTATAAATGTTCACATATAATAACATATAACTCCTTATCTGGTATAGTTAGTGTTAATTAGTGCTTTAATTGCTGCATCATGTTTTCATAAGAGCTGCTTTTGGGTTATGGGCTTTTAATTTAAAATCAATTTGTTTTTATTTTTGTAACTGTTACTAAGTTGGCTGAGTTTGAAAAGAAGTGTAAATGCAAAAATTGTAACCTGTCTAACAGAGAACTTTACTTTTTTTTAACTTACCGATAGCTTGTTAGTGTATTTCATGTTTAAGCTGAACTGTAACTTTTACTGCAGGACTTGAAAGATGTTATGAGAAAGGCTGGAGAGGTGACCTATGTGGATGCGCACAGAAACAGGAATGAAGGGTAAATCCATAATTGTGTATATATCTGGGCAATACCTAGATAACAAAGATCCAATCCTCCTGCTGTTTCAAAATGTAAAAATCACCGTACATAGAGCTTATCTTAGCTGTTCTTTCACAAATTTCCTTTTAGGAAACTTGTACAAATGTTGACACTCCATTAACATATGCTTAGGGACTTGTTGGGGCTAGCCAAGAAAAAAGAAATTGTGCCAGGAATATCGCTGTTCTCCGGTGAATCTCAGCTGCCAGATCAACTCTTACAAATGCAATGTAGACAGGTGCAACTTAAAGCTGCCCTGATAATGTTTGGGGGGAAGAGAAGTGTAAATGAGACCAACTAACCAAGGGAATTATATTTACTGCTAATGTTTTAAGGAGGCAAGAGACTTGGCTCATTTATGGTCCGTCTTCCCTGAAAAGCTTACAGGCAGATCCTCAAGTGCCATACCTTGTAATAGCTTGAGTGACTCCCAGCTGATGTACAGCAACTGAGATCTGCCCCCAAGTGAGGACTTCAGAAGTTTGCCTTTATCATTCAGTATGATTTAAAATGGGTGTGTACATTGGAGGTGGTTAGGATTGTTGTGTCAGTCCTGTTACTAATCAAGCTAGAAAATCAATTTTAAAGAGTTAAAACATGAGCCTATAGAGCTATAAGAATGCAGACTGTACATGCTAATGAATATAATTTTTTTCTCTGCTTTACCTCCATTCTCTCCCATAACTTATTTTTGTGACTTCTTGATGCTCCCTAGTGTTGTGGAGTTTGCATCATATGACGACATGAAGAGTGCATTGGACAAGTTGGATGGCACTGAGCTCAATGGGCGCAAAATTAAATTAATTGAAGATCGCAAATCACACAGGTATGTCACCTGGCCCGGTAGTTCTGGATGTTGGTATTAGTACTGCCAAGTTGTAATATTTAACTCCTTTATCAATTGCAGTACCATAGTAGAAAACCAGTTTTCAGCAGTCAGTGTATTATAAAAAACTTCAGACAAAATGTATATTCAGAAAAGATGTATTTTAAGCACAGATTTGAGTTTTATTTGCTGTATTTTTGGTGAAAAGAGGATTTTATAAAGAGAAAATCTGATTTTTTTTTTTCAAATGGACAAAATGAAATAGATTCCATCCAAAATTTGGCTTACATTAAAATGGTGGTAATTTAGTAGAAAACTTCATCCATATCTTTTCAGATGCTTTTTCATTATTCAGTTTTCAGGAATTTTGCAAAACTGCTTTTCTGGCAAGACCCAGTAAAAAGCAACTAATGTGTTTTTAAAACTATTCTGATTTCAACATTTTTAAGTGGTAATGAAATATTTTAATGTCAGTTCCATCATAATTTAAACAATGATCTGTTTTGTTAAATGGAAAAAGATTGATGGGAGAGCAAGGGATGCAATTTTCAAATCTTTAAGCTTGCAGAGTTCTTGTGATATTTAGACATGTTAACATCTTACTGGGAACCCAAGATTTGTCCCTAATTTCCATATTCTTTTCTAGGGGGAAAAATGACTAATGTATTCTTGTGTTTGCGTTTTTCTTGATAGATGAATATAAATTGTTTACATTTTCTCTGGGTTTAGTTGACTTTTTCTTCTGCTGTACAGGAGACAAGTAATTGGAACTGATGTCTTAGGACTCCTTGGATATCCCTTGTGTAGGACAGTCTTAAAGACAATATCTTAAGAGCCTGAATGTTTTGTTCAGTGCTTTGAGTTCTGTAGATAGAAATTTTATGGGTGCAAAGTTCTTTTTTAAAAAAATAGTTAATATCCATTTAAATTCTTAATTTAAAAGTACTCCAGAGTAAGACCTTTTAATGTGTTTTTTCTCACCCCACCCCACCCCACCCCACCCCCAGAAGCAGGTCTCGTTCGAGAAGTTACTCAAGATCTCGCAGCAAGTCCAAGTCTGCAAGGTCTTCTCGGTCATCCAGTAGGTCTCGCTCTCGCTCTCGCTCTCGCTCTCGCACACCTGACAAAAAATATTCTCAGAAGAGCCACCACTCTGGTGTGCAGCCATCTTCTCCATCTCCTCGTTCTTCCAAGAAAAAATCTCGTTCTCGGTCAAGCTCTGCTGAAAGCCGTAGTTAGTGTATTCCAAAAGATGTGCCAGTGTGTTTAATTGGAGTCATATTTCCCTAAAAGCTTGAGACAAATAACAAACAGGGGGGAAGGGGGGAGGGGGGGAGAGTTAACATGATGAGGGACTGTCCACCTTTTTCATTACCAAAATGCATGTCATCAGACTGCAGCACATGTAACTGGCCTTCTCTATCTCTGATGGAGGTAGAGCAAGGGTTGCCAATTAATACAGTGCTTTATTTCATCAGTAAACAACATCTCACCTAGTTGCATGCACCATGTACACATAATGTAAGGTTTCAGGTTGAGTCCATACACTGCATTTTTTTCAAAGATCTTGCCTTCCAAAACCACACATTTGTATTAGTTTTGGGTGTTTTTTGTTTTTGTTTTTTTTTTTGGGGGGGGGGGGGGGGGGAGAGCGTGGGGGTGCATCTGTAGAACCTGAAACATAGATTTTATTCATTAGTCAGACTTTCTTTTTTGTAAGTAGATAACTTAATTCTTTTAATGGCTTAATATTTGGCTCATCCCCATTGCTGGGCTGAACTGCCCATTAAATTCCATTCATAGTATACAGGTGTCCTTTAGTACTTGTCAGTACATTACTGCCTAATTAGGTAGTGAGTGAATCAATATCTTAAGGAGTCAATTTCCAGTTATAGTGGGATACACCATGACCAGGTGACAAAAATTATCAGGATTTTCTTTTAGTTAGTGAGACTTCCAGTAGGTAGGTGTAAGGAAGAGTGTGGAGGGCCCTCATTTGACAGATGAACCCGTTAGCAATTCTATCAGATATACAAGCCTCCTATATATTTTCTGGTTTTTAATAGTTTATAAAAGCAGCATAGCTTTCATATCCACAAGAGTATGATGCTAAATAGTATGAACAAATGTGACTAACCATAGTTAAAATGGTTAATGAAGGGAAAGTTTATTTCAGAACCTGACAGCAGGAAAAATTTCCAGTAAAAGTTTAGTTAAGGTCATGACAGGAAAACTTGGTAATGTCTAAGATTAAAGAGAAAGGGTATCTTCCTTAAATTTACCAAATGTGCAATAGTTTTGATTAATAGGTATTTCTACTGCAAATAGTACTGTAGGTTCTTATAGTTTATTGTGATTAGTATTTTTTGGCTTTTGAATAATTAAAAGAAGGGGAATCTTGTTGGAAATAGTTTGTAAATCACACCCTAAGGCATACTTATGTTAAACATACAATAAACAAGTGTCTTCTTGCTGAGTGGAGGAGTTTATCTTACTGCTGGTATAGTTCATTTTGTAAAGCCTTTGTCACAAATCATTTGCTTTTATAAAAATGTATGTTTACATGCACGCTAACAAAACAAACTAGAAACTGCAACATTTATCATCAGACCCATTGTGGTGAGAAAACTAAGCCTTAGAGTTTTGCTGTCATGGTCATCTGATGGCTGTTCGGTAGCCTATGTGAAATGAGTTGAAGGCAAATGGCAGCATGAGTATGTTTCATAGCTATGTCAGATGACTGCCAGTCTCAGCAAAAATGCCAAGAATTGAATGAGCCATAGCCACTAAATTACCCCATCATCCCAGCTTTGGTCCCCACATTAGGACTGAAGTACATTTGCTGAAAAGAGTGGGGGAAATTTGCCTTGCCTATTCTATTTCTGCTCTGTGGATACAGGACTTCTGTCTTCAAGGTTGGCACTTTTCATAAGCATAACTATTGCTTCTAATCTTGTGTTTGGACATGGGGCTCCTAAGGGCTTGGTGTGCTTTTAATACATTAAGACTTCACTCGGATGCAGGGTACAAATGTAGGTCACTTAAACAAACCAAATTTCATAGCCTACGCAGTTCATATTGTGACACCAACATACAACATTTGAAGTCCTGTGCCTCTTCTGAACAGACTTCAAAAAGTAAAACTGTGAAATTTGACACAGTTCTGTTGGGGAAAAAAATGAAAAAAATCTGCCCTGACTATTTTTGACTGTCATTTCTAAGCTTTCGTAAACATTAAATTATGGTTTCAGGTGACTTCAGTTACTGTGGCAGTTTGGATTGTGTATCTGGGAGTGTTTGATCCTTTGTTTCCTTGATTTCCTTTGATCAACCTCTCTCAGCCTTGTTGATCAGCCTCCCCCTGTGTGGCTAACGAGGGGGTAGGCCTGACCTAGGTGAGTGGGCTTTAAAAGCAAGAGGCAGAGGGACCAGGGAGGCAAAGTGAGAGAGCGCTGCAGGCAAAGGCGTTTGAGAGGGAATTTGAAAGAGGGAGTCCTAATATGATTAGGAAGACCTGCAACACCTTTGCCAGCACTACTTCTGTCTCCTCTGCCAATGCCTGGAGCCAGACAGACCACCTGACCATGGATGCCTCTGCCCAGATCCTGGTGTGGTTTTGCAGGGACTGTGGCTTGCAATTCCCACTTACTGATATCCAGGCTGGGGAGACCATCCAATGCAAAAGGTGCCTGCTGGTGGAATCTCTCAGGAAGCAGGTAGAAGAGCTACAGGAGGAGGTGGCTAGCATGAAGAGCCGAGTCATGAGGAATTCCCTCAGAGCAGTGTTTCCTGATTTTATTTGGCCATGGAACCCTTTTCAGCTTAAAATAATTTCAAGGAATCCCTAGGGTTCCCAGAGTAAAATTTGTCAAACAAAACAAACAAAAAAACAAAAAAAGCCCCGCCAGAATTGGTTGAGCAAAAAAAATACTCTGCAAAATACTCTGCCTCTTTAAGAGGGGGCGGGGTAATGCCGCATTCTCGCGGAACCCTTACTTTTACTTTGCGGAACCCTGGGGTTCCATGGAGCACCAATTGGGAAACACCGCCTCAGAGTATTCAAGTGGAGATAGCTGAAGCTGAAGAAGTGACCCCGTTACAAAAGACTGCTGACACATCACTGGTGGAGGAGGAAATGGCTCAGTCTTAGGGTGGATGCTGGTCACTACTGGCAGCAGGCAGTGTTCCACCCCTGCTCCCTACCCTCCCACCGCGGTTCTAGAGAACCATTCTGTTCTGGATATGGGGGATAAGGAATCACCCCCTTGGGCAGAAGAGAAGAAGCCTTGTACCCCCAAGGCTGGGAGGTTTGCAGCTACTACTGGGAGGAGGAAACATAGGGTAGTGGTGATTGGAGGCTCTCTTCTGAGGGGGACGGAGGCACCCATCTGTCACCCTGACATAGTGTGTCGGGAGGTGTGCTGCCTGCCAGGAGCCCATATCCAAGATGTTACAGATGGATTGTCATGGATGATCCAGTCCTACTACCCCATACTACCCATCCATGTAGGCACAAATGATATTGCAAGGTATGATACCGCGGTTCTAGAGAACCATTCTGTTCTGGATATGGGGGATAAGGAATCACCCCCTTGGGCAGAAGAGAAGAAGCCTTGTACCCCCAAGGCTGGGAGGTTTGCAGCTACTACTGGGAGGAGGAAACATAGGGTAGTGGTGATTGGAGGCTCTCTTCTGAGGGGGACGGAGGCACCCATCTGTCACCCTGACATAGTGTGTCGGGAGGTGTGCTGCCTGCCAGGAGCCCATATCCAAGATGTTACAGATGGATTGTCATGGATGATCCAGTCCTACTACCCCATACTACCCATCCATGTAGGCACAAATGATATTGCAAGGTATGATCCTGAGCAGATCAAGAGTGACTACAGGGCTCTGGGAGTACGGGTGAAGGAGTTTGGAGCGCAAGTGGTATTCTCTTCAGTCCTCCCTGTCAAAATTAGGGGCCGAGGCAAAGACAGGTGCATCCTGGAGGTGAATGCCTGGCTGCGAAGATCGTGTCGCCGGAAGGGCTTTGGCTTCCTTGACCATGGGATTCTGTTCCAGGAAGAAGGAATGCTAAGCAGGGAAGGGGTTCACCTTTCGAGGAAGGGGAAGAAAGTATTTGGATTCAGACTGGCTAATCTAGTGAGAAGGGCTTTAAACTAGGTTTGACGGGGGCAAGTGACCAAAGCCTGCAGGTAAGTGAACAGCATAGGGACCTGGGAGATGAGTCAGAAATGGGAGGGAGAATGGATTGTAATAGAGATAAATGAGGAACAAGGCAGAACTATGGGGCAAAATCAAATCAGTATCTTAGGCTATGTCTAGACTGCAAGCCTCTTTCGAAAGAGGCTTTTTCGAAAGCTATTTTCAAAAAAGCCTCTTTCAAAAAAGTGTCTAGACTACACCAGAACTTTTGAAAAAGCAAGCTGCTTTTTTGGAAGAGAGCACGCAGGCAGTCTGGATGCTCTCTTTCAAAAATGCACAGTTTGCATTACATAGCGCCCTTTTTTGAAAGAGCACTTTTGAAAAAAGGTGTTCTCGTAAAACAAGGTTTTCCACGGTCGAAAAAACTGCCACGTTCTTTCGCTTTACTTTTGAAAACTCAGACTCAGTCTAGACGCAGGGGAAATTTTTTGAAAAAAGGCCACTTTAAAAAAAAAAAAAAAAAAAAAAAAACCCTGTCGTCTAAACACACCCTTAGATGTCTGTATACAAATGAAAGAAGTATGAGAAATAAGCAGGAAGAAAGTTGAAATGCTAATAAATAAACACGACTACGACATAGTTGGTATTGCAGAGACCTGGTGGGATAATACGATTGGAATATTGGTATAGAAGGGTACAGCTTGCTCAGGATGGATAGGCAGAGAAAAAAGGGAGGAGATGGTGCTTCGTATATTAAAAATACACTTGGACTGAGGTGGAAATGAACATAGGCGACAGACTTGAGAGTCTCTGAGTTAGGTTAAAATGGGTAAAAAACAAGGGTGTTATCATGCAATGGTCTACTACTGACCACCTACCCAACCAGAAGAGGTGGATGAAGCTTTTTATAAACAAATTAAGAAAATCATCCAAAGCACAGGATTTGGTGGTGATGGGGGGCTTCAACTATCCAGATATATGTTGGGAAACTAACACAGCAGGGCATAGATTATCCAATAAATTCTTGAACTGCATTGGAGACAAATGTTTTTATTTGAGAAAGCAACTAGGGGGGAGCTGTTCCCCCTATTTGTTAAAATCAAATCTAGGAACTGGTTGAAAATTTGAAAGTGGAAGGCAGCTTTGGTAAAAGTGATCATGAAATCATAGAGTTCATGATTCTAAGGAATGGTAGGAGAATAGCAAAAGAGAAACAAAGGATTCAAGAAGGCAGATTTTAGTAAACTAAGGCTATGTCTACACTGCAACGCTATTTCGGGATAGCAGATTATCCCGAAATAGCTATCCTGCGTCTTAACAGCAAGCCTGTAAGGGATATTTTGGAATAGCGCTTTATTTCAAAATTTGGAGCTGTGTAGACAGTGCCAAATGCTGAAATAAGATACACAATTTGCATAACTCAAATTGCATACCTTATTTTGAGTTATGGTGCAGTGTAGACGCACCCTAAGAGAGCTGTCAGGTAAGGTCCCCTGGGAAGCAAGACTAACTGAAGAAAGTGAACACATATAAAATTGACAAATCAGATTTTAGAACGGGGGAGATTAGTGTCCCTCCCCCTTCCCCCCCTTCTCTATTCTAAAATCTGATTTGTCAGTTTTATGTATTCGCTTTTTTTGATTGCATCCCTTTTGTATATATGGTCATGCCAATTTTCTTCCACTATTTGATCTGAGGAAGTGGGTCTGGCCCACGAAAGCTCATCACCTAATAAACCATCTTGTTAGTCTTAAAAGTGCTACATAGTCCTGTCTTGTTTCAGCAAGACCAGACTAACACAGCTACATCTCTATTACTATTTAACATAGTGAGTGATAGTAGAAATGGGAGTAGGCTTAGAAGTTAAAAGAAAAAACAAGTTAAAAATTACTTAGAAAAGTTAAATATTTGCAAGTCACCAGGTCCTGATGAAATGCATCCTAGAATACTCAAGGAGCTGATAGAGGTATCTGAGCCTTTAGCTATCATCTTTGAAAAATCATGGAAGTCAGGAGAGATTCCAGAAGATTGGAAAAGGGCAAATATAGTGCCCATCTATAAAAAGGGAAATAAGATCAACCTAGGAAACTACAGATCATCAGTTTAACTTCTGTGCCAGGGAAGATAAAGGAGCAAATAATTAAGGAATTCATTTGCAAACATCTGGAAGATAGTAAGGTGCTAAGTAACTGCCAGCATGGATTTGTAAAGAACAAATCATGTCAAACCAATCTGATAATTTTCTTTAATAAGAAAACATCTTGTGGATAGGACAAGGGAGAAATGGTAGATGTGGTGTACCTAGATTTCAGTAAAGCATTTGATATGGTCTTGCATGACATTCTGATCAATAAACTTGGGAAATACAACCTAGATGGGGGCTACAGTAAGGTGGGTGCATAACTGGTTGGAGAGAGTAATTATTGATGGCTGAGTCATGCTGGAAGGGCATAACAAGTGGATTTCTGCAGGGCTCTGTTTTGGGACCGGTTCTGTTTAATATCTTCAGCAGCAATTTAGATGGTGGCATAGAGAGTAAAATTATTAAGTTTGCAGATACAACCCCTCCCAGCGTGGTGGTAAGTGCTTTGGAAGATAGGGTCATAATTCAGAATGACCTGGACAAACTGGAGAAATTGTCTGAGGTAAACAAGATGAAGTTTAATAAGGACAAATGCAAAGTGCTCCACTTAGGAAGGAACAATCAGTTTCACGCATACAGAATGGAAAGTGACTGTCTAGGAAGGAGCACTGCAGAAAAGGGTCTGAGGGTCATAGTGGACCACAAGCTAAATATGAGTCAACAGTGTGACACTGTTGCAAAAAAAGCAAACATGATTCTGAGATGCAATAACAGGAGTGTTGTGAGCAGGACACGAGAAGTCATTCTTCTGCTCTACTCTGCGCTGATTAGGCTTCAATTAGATTGTGTCCATTTCTAGGCATCTCATTTGATATGGAGAAATTGGAGAAGGTCCAGAGAAGAGCAACAAAAACGATTAAAGGTCTAGAGAACATGACCTATGAAGGAAGATTGAAAGAATTGGGTTTGTTTAGTTTAGAAAAGAGAAGACCGAGAGGGGACATGATAGCCGTTTTCAAGTAGTATCTAAGGCTACGTCTAAACTACGATCCTCTTGCAGAAGAGCAAATGCAAATGGAGCGCTCATTTGCATTTCCTCTTCCTTTCCCTTTTGCACAAAAAAGCGCTGTGTAAATGGTTCCTCTGAGGAACGGCTCTTACGCAAAAGGGGGGTTTTGCGCAAAAAGGCGCAGTCTACACAGCACTTCTTTGCGCAACAACCTCTTGCACAAAAGGGAAAGGAAGTGGAAATGCAAATGAGAGCACGACACATGCAAATGAGTGTTCCATTTGCTCTTCTGCAAGAGGATCATAGTTTAGATGTAGCCTAAAAGGGTGTTTCAAGGAGGAGGAAGAAACATTGTTCTTCTTGGCCTCTGATGATAGGACAAGAAACAATGGGCTTAAATTGAAGCAAGGGAGATTTAGGTTGGACATTAGGAAAAACTTCCTAACTGTCAGGGCGGTTAAACACTGGAATAAATTGCCTAGGGAGATTGTGGACTCTCTATCACTGGAGATGTTCAAGAGCAGGTTGGATAGACTTCTTTGGTGCTGCTTTGAGGGCATAGGACTGGACTCGATGAGTTCTCATGGTCTCTTCCAGTTCTATTCTTCTATGACCTTCTTTAAAATTAAAATGTTAGTGTTTAATATTTCTTCAGTTAGTTCAAGACAGACCATATGTGCACTCACCCCTTTTCCTGGCTTTGTTCCTATAAGGCAGAGCTACTCAACTTTGGAAGCCCTGGGGCCACATTGATGCTCTCAGCACATGCCGAGGGCCACAACTTAAGTGTGGTTGCATATACATGAAAATATATACAAATAGCTTCTTTCACACCGACGGGCATGAATACAAAGATGACACAACAAGACTACACAATACACAGGCCCCATTTATGTCAGTTCTGCTGATATTAATAAAATGCAGTAGTTACCCAATTTCCATCCATATGACGCACTTTTAATGAGTAATGACAGTCCAGGAATGTAACTACTAAAACGCATATCAGAAGAAGATCATTATATTGACTATTTTTTTGTTTTGGCTCCCACCCGCAGGCCGTATGTTGAGACCTGCATAAATCCAAACGGCACTGCGGGCCACAAACAGACTGATTACAGGCCACATGTAGCCCACGGGCTGTGTGTTGAGTAGCCCTGGTCTACCCACCAATTCTGATATATTTTCTTTGTACCTGTATAATTGTACCATTTTGGCTAAAGGTAGCATAACTTAAAAAAAAAATAGTAGTTACACCAATGCAATCTTTAATGTATAAGGATTAAGAATATAATTATGTACAGTTATTCCTTTCCATACAGGAATATGTATGATATGTAGACATCTTCATACCAGCATAATTGCATCCACCCTGGAAGGTTTGTACAGGTTGAACCTCCCTAATCTAGACTCACCTGGTCTGGCAGCATCAGTGACCCAGTGGGTGCTCCAGGACTGGAGCACTCACTGAGGAAAAACAGCAGGCTGGGGCCAGGAGTGTCATGGGACCAGGGAAGAGCAGATCCTACCCTAACTGGGGAGCAGACTCATGGTGCCTTGGGGGACCTGCAGCTAGGAGTGGTGGAGGGGATCAGCATTGATCTCCCCTGATCTGGTAAATTCCTTGGTTTAGGAGCAGTTAGGACCTGAGGATCCCAGACCAGGAAGGTTGAACCTGTACTCCTGTATACAGACCAGATATAAATATTCCTAATGTTTCTAAACATCCCTTCTGCTCCCCCAAAACAACTTCTAGTCCTTTATGATGATTAAAGGAACAAAAGGGCAAAATACCCATTTTAACCACTCATTGCACCTTTAATGCTCCCTCTGTGCACCAACAGAGTATACAATAGTTTGAATTTTAAAACCCCACCTTCAGTCTCAGGCAATTAGTGAACACTAACTGCTCCTAAACCAAGGAATTTACCAGATCAGGGGAGATCAAAACTGATCCCCTCCACCACTCCTAGTGGTAGGTCCCCCAAGGCACCATGCGTCTGCTCCCCAGTTAGGCTAGGGTCTGCTCTTCCCTGGTCCCATGACACTCCTGGCCCCAGCCTGCTGTTTTTCCTCAGTGAGTGCTCCAGTCCTGGAGCACCCACTGGGTCACTGATGCT